CTCGGGAGTAGTAGCCCCGGAAATAGTGACCCCGTCAGTAGTGACCCCGGCAGTAGTGACCCCGGCATTAGTAACCCCGGTAGTAGTGACCCCGGCAGTAGTGATCCCACCGAATAATAGAGGGAACAACACCAGCAACCCATCGGTGCAGGTCACGAGTGCCAATCCGCCAGCGAGCCTCCCAGCAAGCCCAGCGTCCGGTTCCCCTCCCTCATCCTTAAGTGAGATTCGCAACCATGACTGCATGTGGGCGGGAAGCTGCTTCTACGGACGTCACGGCCAGGGCGGTTGCCAAGGCTCTAGCGAAGGCGGTTGCCAGCGCCCCAAAGAAAACGGAGGCTTCCTGAAACCCGGCCCCGTCATGAACAGATGTCCGCCTCAACCGCCTTTAAACGCGTTCATAAAAAAGGAGGAGCCTGACGATGAACAATACTACCAGCAGGCACAGTACCAACATCATCAGACCAGCAGGAGTGTGCTCAAACCCGCGGTTAGGGCAGCTGTTAAGCAACAACAGCAACAGCAGCAACATATGCCTCAAACACCGCCCATGTCCGACGATGAGGAAGGAAAGTCCAAGCCATCCAAGGTACGTGACGTAAACATGTGGGTTTTGTATTTACCTTTTGCCGATCATGAGGCATTCATTTTGGGTTCAGTCATTCCAATAAGCCTATCCGTCACCCATCTTATTCGAGCAAATCACTCACATACGCAAAAAAAACCTAGCGATCCGATGTAGCTAGCATTGGGGAGACGATCAGGGGTGCCGCTGGAACCGGTAGGTATGTCAGTTCGTCTGAGAAACTGCCGTCTCTGCCATATTACTCTCCTAGGTTGATGACAATTTGCTCTTGCGAAGTATTTATTACCAAAAAATCCAGCCACTGACAGCCTTGATTGGTATTAATTATTCCGCACCCTTATTACGTAACTGCAAAATCACATGGATAGCGGTCTGATTGCCATACTTTTCACTTAGGAACTAGCTATCATTTCCTCATATTCAATTGTAGAAGCTGCGTGCTTTGCTTGAATGTCAAGATATTTGAGCTATGTGCTGTGGCTCTGTTGTGATGTAACATCTGCTTCAGTAATGGGAATAGATGAGGCTATTCATAGTTTTTATGGCCCAAGCTGTAAGTTCTAGAGGTCTTTGTGACATTCCTTTATAGGTGGCGTTTACAGTAAGTACACATGGCGTGGGCTAGTGACTACCTATTACACAAGTGACAAGTATGGCGATCATCAGGGGTATCACGTATGTTGAAAAGTGACATGTCTGTTTTTTTGACATTATATATGTGTTTTCTGACACTATGTAGATTTTCATATGTCAACTCGGAACTAGCTGTTGTTCACTTGATGTGCACTGTACGTGTTACCTAAACGTCATTTTTTTGCGTTGCCAAGTAGAAAATGCAAGATGTGAAGCACTACGAAAATGTTTTGTGTGTGTGATGCGTCAATGCGTCATTCCTATTTTTCTGTGATGTGACCTTTAGGATAAATGAGTATATTTAGTTTTTAAAATAACCCTTAGATATAATTTCGAACATAACCTCTCTTCAGAAAGGACAACACAAATAATCCGTCTGACACAGCTAATAGATATACTTCATGGGCGGTATATTAAGTAATAGTTTTATACACATGCAGACCAATATATACAATCACCACACAATCATCCAGATGCTACCAAACTAATTTTTATTTCTTTCACATCTTCTCAGATATACAATATACTCTACAGACTCTCTCTATCTCGGCATTCTGCAACCAACAATGCATGCTGACATGTCTTTCCTCTATTGATGACTCTCGTTTTTTTTATTTTGCATAATATGTGTCCTAGGACCGTTAACCGTGATCTGTTGTCACATGGGATTGTTGACTGCGCTTTTGACACTTTCAACAAGTTCATGACTTTAGAATATTTCAATAGCTTATGGCAGTTGAATAAATAAAAAGATGCATTCATTATATAAGTACCTCGACAAACTTAAGAAGAAGGTAGGCTTGGGACTAACCTCCCAAATAACAAAAACTTATATAAACGTGTCACCGTTTTTGAGATATTGAATTTTAAAAAACGAACCTTTTCATCCGTGGTCTTCAGCTGCATGTACAAATAAGGTTATACTTTGTTCATTTTTTCTATAAAATACTTCTAGATAGTTGCTTTTTCATATACAAATGCAATGTAGTTAAAAGATATTAAGGAACCATGAGAAAATAAGGACTGTTTTGCGATTTATAAACCTTCTGATATTGTTTCCTCAACTTTCATAAAATCATATCAGGAGCAGGTAATAATAATATAGCTTTGTACTATTTAGCATGTCAGTAGTGATCGGTAACCAGTGCAACTTGAATTTAAATCCAATAATTACATTGTAGTGTGTGTCAGTCACTTACAAAAGCAACTATCACTTTTTTCTATTCCAAATAGTACGTGTGGTGTCTTTCTGAAATCTGTATTCAATGAGCAATCTTTTTTTCAGTATAATGCAGTTATATCCCAGTATATTTTTGTTTCACCACAGATGGCCAAAGTTGAGGAAAAAATATCAGAAGGTTATAAATCCCAAAATAGTCCTTATTTGATCATGGTTCCTTAATATATTTTACTACATTGCATTTATATATGATAAAGCAACTATCTAGAAGTATTTTATAGAAAAAATGAACAAAGTATAACCTTATTTGTACATGCAGCTAAAGATCACAGATGAAAAGGTTCTTTTTTTTGAAATTTAAGAGAAAATTCAATATCTCAAAAACGGTGACACTTTATATAAGTTTTTGTTATTTGGGAGGTTAGTCCCAAGCCTACCTTCTTCTTAAGTTTGTCGAGGTACTTATATAATGAATGCATATCTTTTATTTATTCAACTGCCATAAGCTATTGAAATATTCTAAAGTCATGAACTTGTTTGAAAGTGTCAAAAGCGCAGTCAACAATCCCATGTGACAACAGATCACGGTTAACGGTCCTAGGACACATATTATGCAAAATAAAAAAACGAGAGTCATCAATAGAGGAAAGACATGTCAGCATGCATTGTTGGTTGCAGAATGCCGAGATAGTAGAGAGTCTGTAGAGTATATATGTATATCTGAGAAGATGTGAAAGAAATAAAAATTAGTTTGGTAGCATCTGGATGATTGTGTGGTGATTGTATATATTGGTCTGCATGTGTATAAACTATTACTTAATATACCGCCCATGAAGTATATCTATTAGCTGTGTCAGACGGATTTTTGTGTTGTCCTTTCTGAAGAGAGGTTATGTTCGAAATTATATCTAAGGGTTTATTTTAAAAACTAAATATACTCATTTATCCTAAAGGTCACATCACAGAAAAATAGGAATGACGCATTGACGCATCACACACACAAAACATTTTCGTAGTGCTTCACATCTTGCATTTTCTACTTGGCAACGCAAAAAAATGACGTTTAGGTAACACGTACAGTGCACATCAAGTGAACAACAGCTAGTTCCGAGTTGACATATGAAAATCTACATAGTGTCAGAAAACACATATATAATGTCAAAAAACAGACATGTCACTTTTCAACATACGTGATACCCCTGATGATCGCCATACTTGTCACTTGTGTAATAGGTAGTCACTAGCCCACGCCATGTGTACTTACTGTAAACGCCACCTATAAAGGAATGTCACAAAGACCTCTAGAACTTACAGCTTGGGCCATAAAAACTATGAATAGCCTCATCTATTCCCATTACTGAAGCAGATGTTACATCACAACAGAGCCACAGCACATAGCTCAAATATCTTGACATTCAAGCAAAGCACGCAGCTTCTACAATTGAATATGAGGAAATGATAGCTAGTTCCTAAGTGAAAAGTATGGCAATCAGACCGCTATCCATGTGATTTTGCAGTTACGTAATAAGGGTGCGGAATAATTAATACCAATCAAGGCTGTCAGTGGCTGGATTTTTTGGTAATAAATACTTCGCAAGAGCAAATTGTCATCAACCTAGGAGAGTAATATGGCAGAGACGGCAGTTTCTCAGACGAACTGACATACCTACCGGTTCCAGCGGCACCCCTGATCGTCTCCCCAATGCTAGCTACATCGGATCGCTAGGTTTTTTTTGCGTATGTGAGTGATTTGCTCGAATAAGATGGGTGACGGATAGGCTTATTGGAATGACTGAACCCAAAATGAATGCCTCATGATCGGCAAAAGGTAAATACAAAACCCACATGTTTACGTCACGTACCTTGGATGGCTTGGACTTTCCTTCCTCATCGTCGGACATGGGCGGTGTTTGAGGCATATGTTGCTGCTGTTGCTGTTGTTGCTTAACAGCTGCCCTAACCGCGGGTTTGAGCACACTCCTGCTGGTCTGATGATGTTGGTACTGTGCCTGCTGGTAGTATTGTTCATCGTCAGGCTCCTCCTTTTTTATGAACGCGTTTAAAGGCGGTTGAGGCGGACATCTGTTCATGACGGGGCCGGGTTTCAGGAAGCCCTCCGTTTTCTTTGGGGCGCTGGCACCGCCTTCGCTAGAGCCTTGGAAACCGCCCCTGGCCGTGACGTCCGTAGAAGCAGCTTCCCGCCACATGCAGTCATGGTTTGCGAATCTCACTTAAGGATGAGGGAGGGGAACGGACGCTGGGCTTGCTGGGAGGCTCGCTGGCGGATTGGCACTCGTGACCTGCACCGATGGGTTGCTGGTGTTGTTCCCTCTATTATTCGGTGGGATCACATACTGCCGGGGTCACTACTACCGGGGTTACTAATGCCGGGGTCACTACCTGCCGGGTCACTACTGACGGGGTCACTATTTCCGGGGCTACTACTCCCGAAGATCACAACCGGATTCGCAACCGGAGTCAAACCCGGAATCAAACATCCCTGCTGCGCTCTGTAAAAGAATGAAATATAACGATTGTATACAGCTTGGAAATTAAACATTATTATTAGTATTGGTACCACTTCCTGATTATTTTAAAATCAAATTATCATTCAAAGTGATTATACAAACAGAAATACAAAACTTGGTAAAACAGATTGTTATGTGTGACAGATTTCATAATCTGAATCTCATGCACAAAGTCAAAAACATAAATGGAATGCATTGATTTATCGACAAATAGACAATTTTCATCCATACAAGAACCAGTAGCAGAGTAACAAAGCTGTGACGTAATAGGTTCTAGCGAAACGGACTAAGTTCTGGCACCCATCCTCACCCTATTAGAATGTGACCCTCATTCTATTATCGCACATCAACAGTTTGAGATGAAATGTACGGTCGTGCTCTAATAGTATCCACAATAAAATCGTATTCTATTGGCCTGAATGCTTTGGCGAAAAATAGAGAGATTTAAATGTTTGAGTGTACGAATTTATAGACGCTAAGCGGTAGCGACACTTAACTTTTTTTGTACTTTACCGCTTCAGTACAGATAAAGCGCATTTATTGTTATTATTTCAAATACTATTTTTCAATACACTAGCGAAAAAACGATGATAATGCATATGATCCTTGAAAAATTGATTTAAACAATCTGTTTTAGCCAATCAGCTATTAAACTTCATTTAAATAAAGAATACCTCCCATTGCCTACTTTCGGTAGTGTTGGCTGTGGATATATCGCCGAATACAATCTTGTATATTATGAAGTTTGTGTTCAATTCCGATTGCCCATTTTCCAAATTTTGCTGCTAGATGGTTGAAAATGTACATGGGATCCCAGAATGTAGTCATACAATGAAATCAGACTTTAAATTAAAATTATGAAAATATAAATATCTTACCGATATCTTTGTGTCGTTGATGAGACTTTGCTCCTCCTGCAGTAACATCTCAGCGATGCCGGTTAATTCCGGATAGTCTATTTCGAACTTCTCTTCCAGATATCGTCGGAAAGGACCGGTTCATGATCGGCTCGTCAGGAAAGAGCTCTTCTATCAGGAAATCATCGAATCCCAAGTCTCTATTTGACAGGCAATGGTCTTTAACTTCTCGGTTCAACTCTATCTTAATTTTTGTTACTACTCACGAATCTATATACAAACTAACTACTTATGCGCACTAACACTAGTATCACAAGTTGCCCTGGCTCAAGTCTACCGCTGCTTAGGCGGCAGCTGAAACAAAATAAAACGCTGTAGAAACATACTGTAAATGCATGTATAATAAAATCAGACACACACTAAAAAAACACAACAAAAGCCTACGAACCGCAAAAGTACATTGCAGAGCGTTAAAGAAAACACAGGTCAAGATGCAAGTTAACTCGGAACTTGTTTCAGAATAAAGAGTGCGATCGAATCTCGAAATTGACGGACATGAACCTGGAAAAATTTAAAAATACTGAAGAACCGATTCAAAAAAAGAAAAAAAGCAAACTGTTTTTTGACCTGTCACTACGAGGAAAGCGGAGAGTTACCCAATTTGATGCCATTTTATAAATAATGTTAGACACAAATTCAGGATGATAAAATACATCACAGTACTTTTATTTTTTTTGTGATAACTGTATCTCTATCCCTAATGGCGTAAGATCTCATATTACGGATGTCCGAAAAGACCCTCTATCGATAACGCTTATTTTCTGAATATCAAGGATAGTTGAAAACATCTCTATCAATTTCCCTATAAGATAAATAAGTGTTGACTTTAAACTAAAATCTATATAGTACTTCTTAAAATTGGATGGAATGCCAAAGACAAGACATCCTTGTAGCTTATAGAAATACTTTATGGTGGTAATCTGTATCTGTAATATCCAAACAACAAGAAACACTCGAATACTGCACATCGCATTAATGCTTATTGTTCAAAGAAAGTTATGTAACATTAATGAATAAGAAACTAATTACGATCGTTAATAGAAATTATCTAACTTTACTCTCAAAAAATAATATTTAAAATACCACTTGTTCGCCAAGAGAACCAGTATGACGACGTATGTGTCTCTTTGATAAGATTAAAATAATAGCTGCCAAAAAACTGCTAAAACATTCGCCGGTGTATTAAAATATTTGCGATAAAATCTGGATGAATGTTTCAAGAAAAAACACTCGTGATAAGACATTTAAAATTTGGGTCAATGTGATCCATCATTTTAAGATAGAAGTAAAGTACCAGGCATCTTTATATTGGAGCTATTCTTGTCTGATAAAATACATCCAACACATGACAGTGACCATAGAAAATCTAAATTATGTAAATATTTTGCAAGCAAACATCCAAAAGTCAAGGCTAAAGGAAATCAAAATCAGCCACAATCAAACCTAAGAGTTGAGTGGACTTGCGCAGATTTATTTTCAAAAACAATGAATCTAAACACAGGTACTAAAGCCAAACGAGAAAAATAAACCGAATGAGTTCCATAAACTTTCGTTCGTAATTGCAAAATTGATATTCATCATCGCGCAAATCGAAAGGTGCTGCTCCAAAATCCTGCTTTAACGATAACTCGTAAATTTCAAAGTAGCAAAACTCTTAAGACTAAGTTGGAATATCGATCATCTCCATCCCTATATGGGGAGACATCGGTAACAAGGCAGATACGATTCGGGTAATACATTATTGAAAGGAAAATACCCTCGAAAATGTCGGACCGAATCTCTGAAAGACAATTTTAGTCGCCCTGAAGCAGTGTATTATAGGATATATAATCTGTAGATATCTTTTTGCAATAAATTTGTGTTTGGAAAGTATTCAAACTCAAATTTTCAATTTTTGCAAGAATTACAGTGATAACAACCAAAAACAACGCATATGAATAATGTACGAATAGCTGGTGAAAATTTTCAAATTAAGATGTTTTTAGATGTTTGTCCGGAATGTTTGGACTCTTCGTAACTCGACAGTGCTACCGACACTATGATGAAGTTCTGGAGAAAACCACTACCATGCCACATACCTAAAAGCGTTATAGGTTTTTGAATTCGGTCCAGTGGCGGCGGAGTCAAGAACGAAAAACCAAAAAAACTCTGACACACTGATAATTCATTTTTGGCGATGAAGTTTTGAAAATTGCTATGACAGAAAATTTCTCATAAGAGATTACACAATCTGTTTTTAGATGTCACAAGACCTGTGTATGTTCATCACGAAAAACCATCCCACTCATTTTCCGAAGGTTGACCTGTCTATATCAAGGAAAGTACTGCACGGATTTTGATGAGGATGAGAGAGTTTTGAGGGTTATAAAATGTGAACTGCCGTGGCGGAGCTTCAGGCAAACACAAAAAAGAATGAAATGGCTGAAACCTCATTTTTCGACGTTTTAGAAACTCTGATCATTTTCAGAAATGAAATTCAAAATTGGGGGGGGGGGATATCTAAGTTTGGTATCAGTGAAAGACGTTATTTTATTAAGAACCTTCTGATATCGGTAATACTACGCGCCCGTCAGGAGATACAGAATAGTCCTACATATTTTCCATACATATTTCATCAAACAGTTAATATGTTTTTTTTCAAGTTTGAGAGGTGGAGGATACCAGAAGCCGCCAGTATAGCCAGTCACTTGACGTCATTTTATAGTGTGAGAATTATTTTTTCTCCCTAGTCCTACCTTTATTTTTCTACGTTTTTCCAAGTCTCAAGAATCTCAAAAACTTTGAAACCAGATAAGTTCCATTTTCCAAGATGCAGTACTACGCACGACTTCCTGTTTATTTTCCAAAAGTCTTGAATCCACTAACAATTTATATTAATGGGTGGACGTTAGTGAGGCGATCGAATTAACTCTCCGTCGCCGTTGCTCTTCACTAATTATGATATGAAATCTCAGAAAAAGTATAAATCAAGTTGCATCTCGGAAAGGAAACAAATGGTCTTTGAAGTGAGAACCCGCATCTCGCGATTATACCCACACACCTTGCACCCATGATACAAAAAAAAAGGAACGAAATAGTAATAACCTCGTAAGTATCTGAACAAGACGCTGGCTTGGGCCAAGCGCAGTATATAATTGAGAGAAGCAGCTGCCCTGACCATCTGCCTTTACAGGAGGTAATTTTTTTCATTGACAAAGAACATGGGTATTCTCAGCAGGTATATTTCCTGGACAAAATGACAGCGTCGTAGGATCTTTCTAGGTCGTATTTTTATTTCACTATGACGTTTACGATTTGTGGCCATTTCCGCATATCTCGGGCATCATCAAAATATTTTTCGGGACAGGTGGACTGGTTCTACATGTCCAATGCATTTTTAGAATAACACATTAATGACAAAATAAAAATGAGTTTTCGAAAAATTTAGCCTGAGAGGTAAGAACCTACTGTTGAGTTCTACTAAATTATCTGCAAAATTGATACCTTCGAACTTTTAACTGTGTCTTATTTCTGGGATACACTTCTGTAATTTTCTAAAATCCAACCATTCCTGGCCTAACTAGATAAAAATTTCGAACAAAATATTTTTAGTGCATCCCTGAACGTTTTCTATGAAGATTAATTACATCACTTGTCTAAGATTTTATTGTATTGTGTTCAACAATTTATTTTAGTAGAAAACCATAATCTGAAAGAAATCGTTTGAAAAATACCCCTTTCTGTTTGCTTTATATATATTGCCACAGTTTCAGATACATCATGAGCAATATTGTTATGTTATTGTTGCAGAGGCTCCTTGGATCAGGGATGGATAATCTACAAATGATCTACATTAAATTATATTCACTGTATTCATTGATCTTCTAAAGCCTTTTACCCTGTGAAGGATTAAAATATGCATTACTGTTATTCTGAGGTCCTTCCAGGTAATTTTCTTGGATATTTTTAAATAAATAACTTTGATAATCTACTCCTATATTTTCTATTTACTTTATAATACTTCTTATGCCAAAAATATTTACAGTAAAGCTGATGTATTTTCATCTTTGATATACTGCCCTATGAGAATAAAAGATGTATTTTAGTTTTATTGCAGCCATATCCCTGGTACCTACTAATACCCTAACATAGAATGGTAAGGTGGACATTTCCCCCTAATCTAGTTTATTGCAGCCCTATCCCTGGTACCTACTGATACCCTAACATAGAATCCTAAGGTGGACATTTCCCAGTAATCTAGGTAGTTTTTATCTACGTTTTTCACCTTGAAGATTCCGTAGTTCATCATTCAAAAAGAGGATAAAACGAGCAAATACTCTGAACAAATATTTCATCATATAAGTATTCGACAGTTTGGCGCCAAGATAATTTTTATCTGTGAAAGGTGTTACGTAACTTCAGAGTACCATTTAAATTACTCTGTAAATTACACATAAGCGCTGATTATATACATGAATGCAGTAATTGCCAAGGAATTTGTTAACAATAATGTAGGGATGTAAAACCATTACAAAGATATTTTTATTAGGGGGCTATTTCAGCAGGATTCAAGACAAAGGTCATCGCATCCAAAATCCCATATTCAAGCCAAGGACTATATATTTGCTATTAAATTTAAAACAAGAGAAAAAACGTTGGTGATTTCCCCTCGACCTGCAGTTACAACTTGCCACTTACTTTTTGCATATTTCAAATGGCGCCTCTGGGTGACGAATTTACACATGCTTAGTGAAGTTTTAGGATTTTGGCAACTGCAAAATATTTCAGCAAGAATTATAAAGTGCAGACTGATATTGAATTTCAACATTCTTTTAGATTGAACAAAAAGTAATCCTGCTATAGACGGATATTAAAGTCAAGACCGACAAAAAAATTAGCTAATAATAACATACAATTAAAAAAATAATAAAACAAACTCTGATGAGTGGATGCACCGATAAGATGTCGGTAAATAAATCGGTTACACAACAATGCATTTCCCTATAAAAAATTACAATATATCATGAATGAGAGGCATGCTTGGAAAAAACAAAATCAGGAAATACCAAGTTGTCTATCTTGGTGTAGACACCCGCCAAATTCGTATGCTTGAAGCTCTTATAAATCTTGATAAATTATAAACTGGAAGATATATTGAACTAGGGGGAAAATGTTTGACTCGCGCGACACTAGGCCGAAATAATGTCTATATCCCTTATACTTATTTTCAAATATTGTTTATCAGCTGGAAAAATTTCATGCAATTTCATTTTCCAGTTATTTAATAACATTAAATAGCGCCTACCTACCATGCAACTACCTACAAGGTACATAGGATATAAATAAATGATTATCAAATAAATATTGTACTGAATCTAAACCTTGAACTAGTTATATAAACAAAACTTAGTTCTAATATTGGGCCAAAGCTCAATGTACAAATAAATATGGATCAAATGACTGAAATTAGTGAATGAGTCAGATTTCATGTAGGTATTTCCGTTTGCATTCACCTTGCTATGATGGCAATATAATTATAGCATGAAACATGTCTGTACTCGTATGTATGATTATCACATGCATGAAAACACTTTGCCTCAAGTTGTGCAATAAGATGCAGATTTTCCTCTCTACCAACTGGCGGCAAAATCAATAATGTCTAGACTACTCTGAAAAACGTCTACTTCTAACTGCTGTTTGAACTATAGTTTGGCATTACGTTGATCGTAGATATAAATAAGTACCTAGTATGCGAAATATTTGTTATTAAAATGCCGGTTGCCGGTGTCATTAAGATGCCGGTTCGACAGTTCTAATAAAAACTCAACAATACTGTTTGACAAACCTGCCGGAGTAAATCTACTGTTATAGTGGTAATTTCATGCAGCACAATGATAACTTACCGTAAAGCTGTGAGTGAGGTATATGAAAAAGCACTCAGTTAACTAACAACTTTTAAATCGACAGTTTTTTCCGCACGCACGGTGTGTAAAACGAGAAGAATACACTCGAAGGGACGAAATATGAGATTGTATTATTAATACCACAATCCTTAAGAGTCGCCGAGAACTTTGTATACATTCTTAAGATAACGAAGGTGGCAAGCAGAGACGTTAACGTCTTCCAACTTCGGCAGCCTAGTTGTAACTGAGTAAATTGCTGAAGGCTGAAGGAAAAGTCGTCTACATGCCACGAATGCCGGCCGGTCGAGTTGCCGGGTTGCCGCCGGTTCGGGGAACGCGTTGTTGCCACTCTTACAACATAGTTCCGTGTTCTTAAAATATCCAGTAGAGATAATTTACAGATGCTAGTGGTCCATTTTTATTCGATATCTAGGCTAGGAGCCAACGACATGATGGCTATTATTTTTTAACTCCATAACTTGGGTGTTGAGGTTTATTATGACAGTTATATTATTCTAAGCCTAGACTGAAAATATAGTATGCCTATTAGTACCCGCATAATCTCGGAAATGGTCAAATTGCCAATTGAGATCCGTGAATTTTCGGATCAATAATCACAAATTTTCATTACCGGAATCAGTGCCATCACCGTTAAGATACCTAGTCTTTTGTCTCAAAAATAACTTATTTTATCAAATTAAGCAGAATCGATTTTATCATATAAAAGATCCTGCGTTCCAGAAATATTATTAAATTTATTATAACACTATAAATGATCATATGCACAAATCTAGTACCATGACTGTTAAGACAACGATGACAAACAGAAAGCAAAAACATATCTATACCATAAGGCTTCCCAGATAGCAGATTCCACACATTGAATTTTTAGATAGGCTGGCAACGTTGTAGAGGGCTCCGCCGATGACTGGCGTGACGCGAAGTGCGGGGCGTGGAACTGCGGTTTCCCCGCCAAGACAGTTCAAGAGATAATTTACAATTTTTGGTCTTTAAGCAATATTAGAATTTGTCAGTTTGAATACTTCAAAAATACGGATGAAGACTTGATTCTTGTTATAAAACCGAAACGTTGTCGTGCCGTACTTTCATTAAAATCAACTAACAATATGGTGGATCTCATTGAACATGCGGAGGAACAAATACTCCGCTGTAGCGTTCTTTGGTAGCAAGCGTCATCGCCTGGTCAGCGCCCGCCCAGCGCATGACGCAAGTAATGTGAGGTGGGAGATGGAGCATTCATTCAATTTGCAAATATTTGCAAAAGTATATTTGGTATTAGCTAGAATTGTGCAATGTTTTGTAAAATTCATTGACACGATGCCTGATCTGCACTCATCAAGTACCAATGCCTCTTCGCCTAATCAGTAAGAAAATATTCAAATTTCAACTTGTGTCACCCGGAGTCAAGGTTACTCACAACAGAACCAGACGGAAGGGGAATATGTATAACATCTGTGGCACCAAAACAGAAGAGATATGAGATAATGTGGAAATGGGTACTACTGGCTGCCGGTGCACGCGGGCGAATATTTTCGGATTGTCGCGCGGCAAAAAAACGCGCGTTTAGCATTACATTGATGTAATGTCATGCAAAACACTTACTAGAATTTGTCGAAACGCAAGTATCGGCATGGGTATCATGTAAGAAACCTATAAAACGTCAAAAAAAAAACTGTAAGATGTCAACTTGCAGACTTGGTAGTTTTTAGGGCGCAAACAGTCATTCCACGTTTGCTCACTAGGATCGTTGTGAACTTCCATCTATGGAGGAATCACTCAACTAAACTACGCATTAGCATTTAGCATTATTGGTTGCATAGTTTTGTGTGACTGAGTGATCCGGGTCTGTAGTTTTTATCTCTGAGAAGAAAGTTGGTTGAATACAAGATCGCATCTGGATGATTATGTGTAATTGGTCTGCACGAGTATAAAATCAATGATATTTGTTGTCTGAGAAAATCATTACTGAATATGCCGAATATGACGGGTTATTTATCTGTTGTGCTTTCAGAAGAGAGGTTATGTTCAAAATTATAAATTACTAAAAATAGGAGAATTACGGGAATCATCACCGCGCCCGCGTTGTGTGTAATTTCTGTTAGCATGTATATGGCTTGTAATTCGACAGTGTACAGTGAATATAATTATTTCTTATCTCTCTCATTTTTTAAATTCAGCAAATTTGTATATGTAATATCCGGAATGGATAAGAAAAAGTGGATGCGCAACTAATTTCTAGCTTTGAATCTCAATTAAGTGTATTTGAGACAAGAACCCAATGTAATTATCATCAACACATACAACTTACAGCTTAGACCCCTCCAGTAATGCCATCTCAGAAGCAGATTTTACATCACATCAAAGCCAAAGATTGATAACAAGCCTCATGACGTTTAGGCAACACTTACAACTAAGTGCTAAGTTAACATCTTGTAGATTGTAGAATAACCTAATAACAGCATAATGCCAAAAAATTCGGCATAATGTCACTTTTCAAGATACGTCTACAATCGAGCTCTTTTTTTCTCCTGGAGCGTACCTACCTATGGAGGCATGTGGATTTGTGAAATTCCACGATCATAGGTCGAACGGCACGGGTATCATGTAAAAAACCTACAAAACGTAAAAAAAACTACATAATGTCAACTTGCATACCAGATAGTTTTTAGGATGCAAACAGTCGTCCACAGTTGCTCACTTGGGTCATTGTGAGCGCGATCCATCTATGAACGAATATCTGAACGATACGAGATACTTTTCTCTAACCAAATATGCATTATTGGTTGCGGTGAGCTGCGATGTGTAGTGTGTAGTGTGTAGATTTGAAATGTGAAAACGAAAGTTTGGTTGAGTAGCAAGACCGCATCTGGATGATTGTATTGGTCTCCATGTGTATAAGAAAGTGATATTTGATAAGTTGAGAACATTATTACTGACTATGCTGCTAATGAAGTATATCTATTAGCTGTGCCATGCGAGTTATTTGTGCTGTTCTTTCTGAAGAGAGGTTATGTTCAAAGTTATGGTTGTGTTTTCAAAAAGTTTGAGAAGAATGAAAAAAATCATCACCGCGCCCGCGTTGTGTATACTTTACTGTTAGCATGATGTATATGACTCGTAATTTGACAGTGTACGTTATATAATTGCAATACGTAAGTATAAAATATAAGATTCACTTAGTTAATTCTCATCTGCAGTGATTGAATTAATTCATCTTTGTATGTTACTCAAACTTAGAATTCTGTTGAACTCAAATTCTAGTGGTCAGTATTCAACTATTGTATTAATGGAAGGACACATTAACCGTGCATAAGGCATCTAGAAGATTGTCTATGTTCTCCTACATAACAAGGTAGACAGGACATTATTTAAATAGATTTAGATCTAATTTTGATAGTTCTATTGAGAAAGAATGAAAATGAAATCATAACGCAGTTTTGATAGACCTCATTGATAACAAAAAGTAAATGGAACATACTGGAATAAGAAATAGATACAGCACTGGTATTTCAGTCAGAGATACTAAAAATCAAATGTTATATTGTAAAAGTATCAGTAACAATATAGTTGTAACTGCAAATTTGCTGGCTGAACATGAAATCTCTAAAATAACCCCACTTTATAAATCACTCTTTAATGCTTATATAATATTTGAATGGTCCATTTGCTGAACAAGTAAAGTAGTTCTTCTATATAAAAACCTAGTAAGCAGTATAAATGTCTGTATTCGAATGAATCAAAGATCATCATATACATACATATAATCTACCATGTAGTGTAAAAATGTACATTTATGTTGAATTTAATATTGTGATATTCACACATTGCTGTCATACAGCAATTGTTCTTGAGGTCAGTGTTCTAAACGTAGATTAGAGAGCTTTGTTAACTAAGTGTCAAGCATTCAAAATTTGTGTTGAACATTATGGAATTTATTCAATAATTCATATGATAGTCTTTCCTGATCACTAAATGTGATAGCATTATTGAATTTTCCAGAAATAAACATCAGTACTGCAGATATGTAGTCAAAGGTTGCCAGGAAAGTATATGAAATGAATTCCCAAACACTATGAAATTCCTTTACATGTTTGTAGAATGAATGGACAAGGTTTGGAAGAAAGCTCTGACATCTATAGATCGTTTGGCTTTTTTGGTGGTTACAGACATGCTCCCTTCACAAAGGAATACAGCTCTATCAATTGAAGACATCATCAGACAAGTTTCGCCAATATAAATATCTACCGCAAGCGAATGATTGGTAAATTTTACATCTTCCATCTCTAAACAGTTACAATGTCATTATGAGCTTGAGAAGTAAACAATTACTAACCGAGCCTGAGGCATGTAGGGAGGGATGACTATAATTTTTATTCATAATGTGCTTTTCAACTGTAGCTCATATATAATTGTTTCTTGCTATTAAGATTAGTCAATTAGCCATTTGGAAGGCCCAGTATCAATATTAAGTTGTTTTACATATACTTTACTCATAATTATAATTTTCATGCAATTTGTTCTGTGAATTTTAAAGATGTTTGGTTTCATTTGAACTTTCATTCTCTTCTTTGACCCAAACCACAATCAGTAGAGTCAAGTTGAACATGCTGAGCAGTATTTTGAAGCAAGTAAGCAGAAAGATAATATTGAATGAACGAATAGTCATCATCAAAAACATCTGTGTTCCACTATTTACAAAGTTTTTACTGTGTATTATTCAAATATTTGAACATTTGGACAGTCCACTGATTATACAATAAGTTTGAAGTAAATTTTAATTAATCAACTCTATCAAATCACATAAGTTAATATTTATTCACAAATTAAACATATCATTAAGTGACATTGGCAAAAAACAATCATCATCAGAACCTATTTAAGCTTCAGTTTTTTCTGTCAATTTTTGAGCTTGCTCAAAACAGTGTTTCCAAAAGGATCAAACATTATCAGTGTACAAACACTTGGAAATTGAATGCATTCTTTTTTCAAACGTTCTTGTTTCTTGTGAGATGACCAGTATTGTCTGCAACACCCATTTGTCATTGTTTCTTAATAGGTACAAATCTATTTTGGGAATATTTATCAACGTTTTTAAAAGTTTGTTGAATTCTTGTTTCTGTGAGATTTTTACTAATTCGTGGGAAGTACAAGTCAAAGTGGTGTGAACTTGGATGACAAAATAAAGCAAACAATTTATCAAAGATACTCGAATTCTCGATTCACAAAATTTCAAGGTGAAAATGAACTGTAATTTATATTTTTTATCTACTCACTATATGCGTTTTAGCTCAATAATTACCTCAATACCACATAATATACAATAATCTATAAGTGATTTGATTGGAAGAAATATTTGAGATAGGTTTAACCTTTCGAATTATTTAGTTACGGTGGAAAATGATTCTCCCTATGAGTGTGCTTATTCTCGTCCATTGAATATTTCTTTATGGCTAATATGTATTTATTACTGCAGGCCCTCAGCTCTGTATTTTTCTCAATCAGAGACTGTTTTAAGATGTCGACCAGTAATCATTCGGGTATCTTCGGCAAATTGTCTGCAACATTTTGTCTGCCAACTTCATCCATCCAAGCCAATCTATTTAACTTCATTCTTAACTGATATATTACATTTGATTTTAGGTTTCCTCAAGCTGCGTTTGAATATTACAACACAGAGATGTATGCAAAGAGTTGCAATCGACTCCAACTGCCAGGAAGTTATATGGAATAGATCATTGCCACTCTAGGAGTAATTCTAGAGTACAGCTAAAGTATGGTACCTCAATAACACCCCAATCATCATCATCTCTTGGCACCATTCGTCAAATGAACATCCGTGGGGTATGATGGAAGAAGAGAGACCTCTTCCGTTATCCTCTACCAACATTAGCAACACTTCGCATTGAGTTTGATACGAGGTTTCTCATCAGAAGCACGCTACGATAACTGTACGAGAATATATGTGGCACTAAGTTAGTTCAAGACATTATTAGCGGATTCTAGCGATTCAGTTAATTTTTTTACCTAAAAATTTTGTCAATTTTTCCTCTTGCTTACTTCTAACTATATACAAAATTCATTCACATAATACCATTTCCAATGGGCGCCCTTTTTGTCACAAAGAATGCTCAAAAACCAAAAAACCATGTCTACAAAATTGAAAAATGTTTAGTCGATGACATGGTATCGTGTATGATCTAATCACATTTGCTAAACGTTTTTCCAGGAAAGTCATTTTCTGTTTTGGGGAACATGAAGTTGTTAATGTTTTGACAGTCTATGCCATTAAATAGGAAGATTATGTATAAGGAAATGTTACAGTTTGGGCGACGGTAACTTTTTAGTGATATCGCTACACTATTGCTTCCTAATGATAAGTTTAAATTGGCATTATAACAGGGCTGGAGTATTTGCCGTCATTCTGATGAACGCTTTTAATTGAAAATATCGAGAAGAAAACCGATCCTATGTAAAAAGGTAATATAGAAACGATTTTGGGGCTAATTAAATTGTCCATCATTTTGCT